TTATGTGTGTGTGTGATTGCGTGTGATGATGCTTTCCCACTCCTAGCATGGAGCTCCTTCGTCACACTCTTTCTGCAGGCTGGTCTGATGCATCATGGGAGTCTGTTTGAGTTTGCGTGTGCACACGCATGTGCTTAAAAGAGATGTGAAGCTGTTGACACTTTAGAAAGTTCTTGTCATCAACCTTAACCCTGCAGAGTGATGGCAGCTCTTTGACCCCTCAATGGCCTGATGGCTTCCCCTACTTCAGTAGTTTGTATTTAAAAAAAATACAAATAAAATAGAGACTAGGGCTGGACGATTAATCGAAAAGTAATCGAAATTGAAATTCAGAACCTCTACCCGATTCAATTTTCCCACATCGGTTATTTAGATTTTTCAATCCTGTGAATACTTTCCCCAGGGTTGCCAGGTCTGCGAAACAAAACAAGCCCGATTGTTATTCAAAACAAGACCAAAACTAGCTTTTCTAGAAACTAGAGTTTCCCCCCTTTTTTACATTGAAAACTGAAATGGGACTTTTTTTCATAAGACGTTTTCATTACAAGAGATGTGTGCTTTGAATTCAATTGTTCGAAATATTCAATAAATAACCATAAATAGTTTGTTTCCTTCAGTTCTTTTAAAAATCACAAAGAAATGCACTCTTTCATTAGAAAAAATATCCCACCTTTAATAGTTGAGCATATTTACAGTACAAACCTTGTCAGTGAACTATGGCAAATAAGTAAATAAATAAAATAATCGTTCATTAATCGTAATCGAGGTAAAATGTTCAATTAATCGATATTTTGATTTTACGTCATATAATTCTTACAGAGAATTCACACTTAAATGAATAATTTAGGATCTTTTGCCCATGTTGTTCCAATCTGTATGACTTTCTTTTGTAAAACTCAAATTGAGAAGTTGAGCACGATGTCCAAGCTGCTCTTCCACACAGTGAAAATGCAGACATATGTTGCCAAGTTCCAAAATTACGAAACAGCACCATAAAAAGTAATTTATTGGACTTTTGAGCTTAAATCCAAGTTTTCTAAAGGCATATAATAGAATTTGTTACCCCTCCAGGGTATTGTATTTTTGAACAAAATACAGTAAAAACAAGCATATTGTGAAATACTAATATATTTTAAAGTAATAATTAAATTTATTACATTTTAGTTCAAAAGAACAGCATTTATTTGAAATAGAAATCTTTTGTAATGTTATAAATGTATTTACTCACTTTTGATGCATCATTGCTGAATAAAAGTGTTAATTTCTTTCAAAAAGCATAATTCTTTCTGACCCCAAACTTTTAAACGGTGGTATATTAATGCATTTGACAACATGTTGTCTCAGGGAGTGCGAACTGAAGGTCATAAAGGTTCGAAACAATATGAGAATAAGAAACATGACAATTTTCATTTTTGGATGAACTGTCCACCTTTAAATAGAGATTATTGTTATATCGATAAAACCTAGAACAGCCATATATAACTGTTTGCTTGTGTATTAAATGTTTTGTTTCACGGTTTAAAGTTGTTCATTCTTGTAGCCTCCATGAGTGATTTAAAAAAAATCCTTGGTATAGGACATTGATGAAGTGATCCCCTGGAAGCCTTTTAAACTCGGTACAGATAAGGGTCAGATTCTCAGTGTTTGGTCCTGTGATCCATGGCTTTGTTCACTGTCACCATAGAAATGCTAAACATAGGAGCAGCAGCTATGGATACTCAACAGGCTCATTGCTAAAGAGAAAGAAACTGAGATGTACAGGGATCGATTTCAGTCCGAATGTGTTTTATGTCCTGCTGGTCTGGTCGATAAAGTCCAGCCTATGACTCATAGAGGCTCTTGAGGATCCTAATATGTTCCTCTGAACCCCGACAGAGACTTTAATGACCACACTGATGCCCTGACCATAGCTAAGACAAATAGGGACTCTGTGATCGCTGAACTGCAGGGGGCAATTTAATTTCAGTTCACCCAGTTCAGGAAACTGATGTGGTGTCTTCAGTTCATCTCCTCAGTCTAGCAAATTGAAAAGGACCTGAGGCCAAATCTTGAATTTATTGGTAAAACTGGTAAAGGAATAGCTCACCCAGAACTGAAGGTTCGGTCATTTAAAAACCCAAATTACTTCCACTACAGGATGTCATTTGCTTCTGGCTGCTAAAAATTCAGAATTGTCATGTTTTTATTGTATTTTTGACTTTTAAAAAATCATTTTAAACCAAACATTTGAATGTAGTTTCTTCTGTGGAACACAAAAGGAGAGATTTTGAAAATTTTACAAATCACCTTTTGCATGCAGTTACAAAGAATGGAAGTTAGAGCACTGAAGCTTCAAAAAGGATGCAAAAATCTATAAAAATATCATAAACGTGGTCCATATGACTTGTGGACTATATTCAGATGGCTTATAATACATATAGTGGGTATGGAAAGTATTCAGACCCCCTTAAATTTTTCACTCTTTGTTATATTACAGCCATTTGCTAAAATCATTTAAGCTAATTTTTTTTTCCTCATTAATGTACACACAGCACCCCATATTGACAGAAAAACACAGAATTGTTGACATTTTTGCAGATTTATTAAAAAATAAAAACTGAAATATCACATGGTCCTAAGTATTAGGACCCTTTGCTGTGACACTCATATATTTAACTCAGGTGCTGTCCATTTCTTCTGATCATCCTTGAGATGGTTCTACATTTGAGTCCAGCTGTGTTTGATTATACTGATTGGACTTGATTAGGAAAGCCACACACCTGTCTATATAAGAACTTACAGCTCACAGTGCATGTCAGAGCAAATGAGAATCATGAGGTCAAAGGAACTGCCTGAAGAGCTCAGAGACAGAATTGTGGCAAGGCACAGATCTGGCCAAGGTTACAAAAAAATTTGTGGATATGCTCGGCCCTGGCAGCTTTTAGAGCTTGTCTATAGCTGGACATACTGTTTTTCCACGCGATTCTAAAAACTTCCAAGTTAGTTTTTCTCCATTTGCTCTCAAGACTACGAGTTTTTTTCTTGAGAGAATGGGTATTACTGTTGTACCATGGCGCAGTACGTTTTTCTCTAACCTTTTTCAATTTGATGGGGGCAACAGCTTCTAATGTATTAGAGAAGATAGTGCCCATGTTGCTAGTTATTTTGTCTAGTTCATGTGTACTTATGGGTACACAGAGCAGTTGAGATAAATCAGGCAGGTTATTTGTGAATCTGTCTTTGGTGGCTGGAACAATAGTTCTCCCCGGACGATAACACGGAGCCATATAGTTAATATCAGTAATACGCAGCATGCACGATACAAGGAAATGGTCAGTAACATCATCGCTTTGAGGTACGATATCTATATCAGTAAGATCAATTCCATGCGATATAATTAAATCTAGCGTATGATTAAAACGATGAGTGGGCCCGGTGACGTTTTGCTTGACTCCAAAAGAGTTTATTAGGTCAGTAAACGCAAGTCCTAATGCATCATTTGTATTATCAACGTGAATATTAAAATCTCCGACAATTAGCGCTTTATCAACAGTAACCAATAGGTCTGAGAGGAAATCTGCAAATTCTAAAGACTAATGTTAATTAGAATAATAAGACACCATAGGGCTGTTAGTAATCAAATGAAACCAGGATCAACAAAAGTCATCTGTGCTCTGCCAGTGTGACACAGAAGCTGCATCTTGTATTTACACTGTTTAATGCAGTTCAGAGGTGGCCTGAATGCATTTACACTGCTATTACAATTGCCTAAATAACAGAATGAGATTACTGCGTTAAAATACAATTTTGAATATTTAAATATTAAATGATTTTGAAAAAGAAATGATACTTTAAATATAAAACTTGAACTGTCTTAATGAACAAGTCACTGAATCATTCACTCAAACGATTTGTTCAAAACGACTAATTTGTTCAGTAACAGTAACAGTGTTACTATTGTTAGCTAAAACTATTAAAAATATAGCAGGTCACTGTCTTTGTGAATTGATCATTGAATCATTCATTCAAACAATTAGTTTAGAAATGCAGATTAGTTCAGTAACAAATGTTATTGTTAACTAATACTAAAACTATTAAAAATTGTTTTTGTTAATTAAAATAAATACCTGAAATATGTAAATATTACATGAAAAACTGAGAAATGTTCGAAATGATTATGAGAAATAAACTAAAATAAAAGTGAACTGAATTAACAAATAAAAGTTAGTTGAAGGACTAAATTACTAAAACTATAATTAAAAAAAAAAAAAATTAAAATTAACTAAAAAAACTCAAACTAAAACTGAAAAGATGAAAAATGTTGAAATGTTAGAAATGATTGAAATTAGAAATAAACTAAAATAAAAGTTAACTGAATTAAATGAAATAAGTTATAGTTGAAGTACTAAAGTACTAAAACTAAAATAAAAAAATTAATTAAAATTAACTAAAAAACTAAAACTAAAATTTAAATAAACTGAAAGATGAAAAACTTTGGAATGTTAGAAATGATTGAAATTAGAAATAAACTAAAATAAAAGTTAAAGTTGAAGTACTAAATTACTAAAACTAAAATAAAAAATAAATTGAAATTAACTAAAAACTCAAATAAACTGTGAATATAAATAAAATAGTCAAAATATTCATAAACACTATAATGGTATATAAATGATAATAAAACTGAACAAAAATGTGTTCTCTCAGAAAAAGACAATCAACTCAGTTACTAAGACTAATTATTCTTTAACCAGCTTTACTGTCACTGAGCCAAGTGAGGGAACCTTAGCAGGACTTGGCAGGGTGAGAAAGGTGTCAAGAGTAAACATGCTTAGTAATCACTTTCCCTGGAGTTTGTTGGCTGAAGAGGGAGGACACCCCTCCAACGTTAATCTCCCATCAGTCTCTCTGTCTCCTCACTGTTTGTGAGCTATGAAACCGACAGCTGACAGCCTGTCTGAGAATCACATTTTCTGTGTGACTCCAGATAAGAAATAAACCCCAGCAATGCTGCTTCCACTGTTTTCTCTTGATCACTTATTTTCTCTCTCTCTGTCTTTCCACAGCGGAGGTGTATATTGGAATGGGAAAGGCGGCGGAGGCAACAGCGTGTACGCAGGAAGCAGCCAACCTGTTCCCCATGTCCCATAACGTGTTGTTTATGAAGGGTCAGGTGGCGGAGCTGCGGGGGAACGTGGACGAGGCCAAGCGCTGGTACGAGGAGGCGCTGTCCATCAGCCCCACCCACGTCAAGACCATGCAGAGACTGGTGAGCACATGCTGTTTAGCCACTAACTGAAACCCTTTTGCAGTTTTACACTTTCATGTTTATTGCTCCCCGCAATGCAGTTGATTTCAGGTTTTACTCTTCTTGTGGGAACGTTTGGTTGTGTGTTTGGGGGGTCGTCACGCTGAGATGGAGAAAGGAGTCCAGATCTCGTCCCATGTCAGTATTTAGCAGACAATGAGTCCAGGATGTGGAGGCTTGTCAGAGGAAGTGTGTGTGTGTGAGTGAGTGAGTGCTGCTGTCTCCGGCTGTGTGTGTCTTAATAGTAAGCAGAAATGTCATGTCTTATAAAGGAGCTCCCCTGTAGTAGACAGCAGCAGGAGGAAGTATTGCCCCTGTCTCTGTCAAATCTCTCCCTCTCTGACCTTCTTTTGTGTGTGTGTGTGTGTGTGTGTGTGTGTGTGCATGTCTGTTTATGTGTCTGACACTGTTCTAACAGCAGGACAGTGGACGGCATCTGAACTCTCAGAGCTGTTCACACTACATTAACCCTTTGTTTGATGTCGGCTCGTTTTTGATCTGTGTACTATAAAGAATATGTTAGAAATACCACGTTGTGCATTCAGACCAGATTTTATGACATTGTCACAACAAACACAACAGATAACTGTATTCTTATAGAATTGTTTTATGGAAATACAGAGGTCTGTGATAATTTTGACACATTTGACATACCAAATACGAAGAACAATGCGTATTTGCAGAACAGCAGAACAGAAAAAAATTATATCAGAATTAAATTAAATTAAAATATTAAATTACATTTTTTTATTAAATTACATTTAATTGTTTAATTGATACGCATTTGAATAATACAATAAAAACAGTGATATTGTAATTTTTTTCAGTTTAATATATTTCAAATTTATTTAATAAATAATAAATAAATTAAATAAACAAAACTGAATTTTCAGCAGCCAATACCCATTACACTAGTCTTCGGTGTTACATGATCCTTCAGGAATCATTCTAATAATTTTATATATATATATATATATATATATATAAAACAGAGATATTAGATAT